TGGTCAGTCTTGGGGGAGAAGCTTTGGCACTCTGAGTCCTGCAGGCTGGTGGATTTGGGCTCAGCCTCCATCTCTCCACCAGTGCGGATTTGGGACATGTCTGTTTATTCCCTGGAGAAGTCACTACAGCCATTGGACACACACACATGCACACACACACACACATCCATCACCATCATCATCATCATCACTATCATCATCACCATCACCACCATCATCATCATCACCATCACCACCCTCGTATCATCATCACCACCATCATCATCATCACCATCACCACCATCATCATCACTGTCATCATCATCATCATCACCATCACCACCATCATCATCATCACCATCACCACCATCATCACCATCACCATCACCACCCTCGTATCATCATCATCACCATTATCATCATCTCTCAAAGACGAACATCTATCCTGAGAACGTGTAGTTCAGAACTAATATGAAAACATATTTTTCTAACTGACCAGTAATTTGCAGGCAGCCCACTCTCCACAAAGTCAGAGATTATGCAGAAAAGAAGTAGATCCTTTCCTTCTTCACCCCACCTCCAAATTATGCCCTCCAGTCCTGCCAGAAATAGGAAAAGCCACATATATCTTAACAGCTGCTCCTTTAGTTACACAAATGGAAGCATTGAAAAAATTATTCTATTAAGGAGTCTATTCTTAGTCATGAACCTTGTTTGCCTAAGTTTCCTTCTGGAGAGAATGGAGGAGGTGGCTTCTTTTTGTCATCACTTACTGTCTGTTCCTAATCCTCTGTTCTCTGTGATGCTTGCTTTCCCAAGTTCTGGTCCGCACCCTACATTCTCTGTCCAGGATCCCCCATTCCATAGCTCTGTACTCCCAGAAGAATCCTAACTCCATACTGTCTTGGATGCCGCAATTTGCCCAGCCAATCTGAAATCTTCCATCCTGTGAATTTTTTTTGCAATGTCCTATAGAGCTGCACAGTATTACTATCGCCTAAAATGCTGGCCTTTGGGAGTGAATGAATGAATGCAATACTGTCAGCACGGCTCGTTCATTTTTGTACTCCTACAGACAGGCCCCCGGTGCCTATGAGATGCTGGGCACAGAGGACATATTCAGTAAGACTCGGCAATGGGTTGACATTGCCATCTCTCTCTGCATCAATTCTGACTGACTTCAGTTCTACCCCTAAACACACTGCTAGCCCTAAACACAGAATAAATACCTCTTCTTAAAATTTTTAAAAAGAAGGTAGACTAGGGGAGGGAAAAGGGATAGGAAAAGAGAGAGATCAGGTCCGATCAGGTGGTTCACAGTCCAAGAGCTTGTTCTAGCGGATGAGAATGTTTGAGACCTCACAGTCTGTGACCCCCAAGAATCTCCCAAAAGTCAGTGAAATGAGTCAAAGTCTTTTGAGGGAAAAGAAAGATTAACAACAAGCTTGAGGGGTAGGAGGGAGGGGTGAGACCAAAGGCAGACTATGAAATGCCATTTCTGTCACTGAGGCAACTGGGCCTGGTTAATCCCAGAGATGAGGAGTAGCTTCAGCAGAAATCTCTCCTCTCTGGCCCTCACCCGCCACCAAGCAAACTGGTTCCCCAGGCAGGCCCAAGGCAAGGTGTTTTAAGCCATTCAGCCTCCACCTGAAGAGAAAGAGAATTACAGGATGTCAGGGTGTATTTGGCTTGCTCTCCTCCCCCATTCCACAGATGGGGAGACTGAGGCCCAGAAGGTAAATGAAATGTGGCCCAAGTTGTAAAGTTCAGGAAAAGCTCAGGTCTCCTGATGTCCAGTTCAGTGGGTTTCCTTCTAGCGAATGATAACAGGATGGATAGCAAGCGTGCACAAAACACACACACAACACATACACAACACACACATGCACACACATGTACGTATACACACGCCACGCACGCATGCACACACACACACTCTTTGGTTGTTAAACCATCACAACTGAAATCTACTCTTCACCCAGTGTCAACTCCAATTCAGAGCCTGTAGTGGTTTTACCTCTTATTTGGAAGGAATAAGAAAGTGAGCTAGGTGGGAGAAAGGAGACCTCAGCAGGATTTCAGATCCCCACCCTCTTTTCTTGTCATCCCATCTGACCCGTAACATCTGACATTGGTCCTCAAAAGTGAAAGGGATTTGGGGAGGGGGTTTGTACCTTTCCTACAATTCCTAAAATTACATCACATGGACTTTGTCCAAGTAAAACTAGAATTGCAGCCCTGTCCTCAGAAGTGCATGGTCAGGAAAACAAACCCGCCACCATCTGATTCCATCCTTCCTCCACCGTCTGTGACCCTTGTCCCTATCAGGAGGTACAGGGGAGGCTACAAGTGGAAGATCTTCTTTACTCTTCTTGCTTCCCTGGCCCTTCTCCAGAGCAGCTGTCCCAAAGCCTTCTTCATCCTTCCTGCCCTAACCCCTCCACCTCTCTCACTCTCTGCTGGAGACCTGACTTCTGGCTTACCTGCCCTGAAACTCACACGATACCCTCACCTGTGTAGTGACTGTCTATGACCAGTCTGTCCTATAGCTGCCCCATCCAGAGCCCTCTCTCCTCCTTGGTCTTCAGACGCGGTCCAGGCTACTCTCTGAAACATCTCCCCAGCTTCCCCCTCCCCTTCTAGCACCTTCTCAAGACTTGAATTCTCCTCCTACTTATTGTTGCCACTTCTCCCTAACCATTCATGCCTCCATCCACTTTAATTTAACGTATATTCATCAGAATCTTTACGAAGTATCAGATGCCACATTGGGTGTGTTTGGGGTAATGCAAACATAGGTCCTCTTTCCTTGGCTTCTGCCATCATAATTCTACCCAAGTAGTCTTTCTGTGGTCCTCAATGTCCTCCTAAATGCCAAATTCAGGACCACATGCCTCAAATTCATCTCAGAACAAGACAAGCTAAATATACATACGTGCACGCATGCAGGCCAAAGTCAAGGCACAGCACCACTCCCAGCACATAATAGGTGTTCAATAAGCACACTGGTATTTTCTGACTTTTCTTCCTCTTCACCCTCTCTTGTTTTTAATTCTATTCTCACTCCTTTCTAAAGTTCTCTTCCCCAAGTGTTTGCTTGGGTACTGCTAGTGTCTGAGCTTCCTCTGGCTCAGGTCAGGTTCCCCAGAGAACAGAGTGACATAGAGCTTTGCTGGAGAACATTTACTGGGGGCTTTTCATGATGTTATCATGTCCTTTCTGTTTTAATCCCAGGACCATACACTCTCTCTCCAGTTAGCAACTGCCATTCTTCCTCCACATGCCCAGCACAACTTTGTGGACTTGTCTGCAGCCTCTGCCTCTCCTTTGGCGCCCTTCCACTGTCCACCGAGCCCTCATTGCCTGTTCCATGGAACCGCTATGACCATTCTCTGTCCCTGTTAGAACTAACCTATCCCCAGCATGGACACAGCTGAACCTCTTTCTTGAGACAGTTTCTTCACCGGGTGTCCTCCTTTTCTTCCTGTCTTGGGGACCTGCCCAGCATGGTGTCCCTCGCTGGTTTCTCTTGGTTCCCTCATGGACTGCTGATCCTCTACTCAGTGGAGGGGCCCAGGCTTACCCCTCGACCTCCCACTCTTCTCCACATGCATTTCATGCCTGAGTGATCTCAGCTATGCCCAGACTACCAAAGCCATACCCTTCCCAAATTTGAACCACAGTCCTGAGACCCACTTTAAGCTCCAAACATATATTCAGCCACCTATTCGAGAGTTGTTTTGAACACCCAATAGGCGTCTCAAAGTTCACATGTCCCAGTAGAATAGCTGATTCCCCATCATACACACACATGCGCAGACCTGGCTTCACAGGCACAAGTGGGACCAGTGTAGTTGCCCACAGTATTGCATACAGACGGAAGCCTGGCACTTGGGCTTCATGCTTATGGTCATCTTAAAATTCTTAATAATTTCACGTGTGAATCTGTGCTTTGTAAGTGAGGTTCAGTGGGACCAGGAAGCAAGCACTAAAGCCCTGAAGCCTTGACTCAATGCTCAATGCCCCTCTTACCACCTCCTTGCTTCCCTGGGATGGGCTCTAGGCCACTTGTTTCCCCATCCCTACCCAGTAACCGCTGCCCCCTCCATCCCGTGTGATTCTAGGGAGGGGAGGGGTGTCAGGATATGGATGGGAGGAAGGTCAAGGTATATGTGACCCTGGTGCCAAGTCAACAGGTGGGCCCTGGGTCCCTGTAAGGGTCCACACTTACCCTATTAGTATCCCTGTGTATTCAAGGGAGCATGAACTTACACAGCAAATTTTAAAACCTAAGCAAACAACAACAACAGAAAAACCACACTGACAGGTCAAGAGAGAGAATGCAGAAGAAAATAAATAGCTTTTTTCCTGCTTTTTTGGACAAGAGCACCACATTTTCATTTTACGTTAGGCCCCAGAGCTGATGTAGCCAGCCCTGAGTGGACACGAGGTTGGACAGTTAGATTGGAAACAGGTTGTAAGGCACTGACTACTGTGGAGTTCAGTCTTTACTTTGTAGACTAAGGCTGGCAAGATTTTCCTGTGAAGGGCCAGATGGTAATTATTTTAGGCTTTGCAGGCCATATGGTATCTGTTGCAACTACTCAAAGCTGCTTGCAAAAGCAGCCATAGACAATACATAAACCAAAGGGAGGGCTGTGTTCCAATAAAACTTTATTTACAAAAACAAACAGTGGGCCAGATTTGACCCTCAGGCTATAGTTTGCCATGCCCTGTTGTAGACAAGGGCGAGTCATTGAAGGCATCTGAGCAGCAAAAAGGACAGTCACAAGGGTTTCTAGAAAGTTACCTTGACCCCCACTGTTCAGGATGGATCAGAGGGGCCAACCTAGGGGCAGGGTTTCTATTGCAAAATATTGCAAAACTCCAAGCTGAGGAGCCAGTAGCAAGACTCTGTAGTGGGCAGCAGGGGTTGAAAGAGTGAAACCAAGTAACACAAAAGCCTCACCAGGGTGCCAACAGCAAGACCACTAACCCAACTTGAACCCTCTTCCATCCAGAGGAAAGAAAGAGCAAGCGGAGGGTCCGAACCACCTTCACTAGCGAGCAGCTGCATGAGCTAGAGAAGATCTTCCACTTCACCCACTACCCAGACGTCCACATCCGCAACAAGCTGGCAGCCAGGATCAACCTCCCAGAAGCTCGGGTGCAGGTACAGCTGTCCCCACCCTCAGCCTCCGACCTCAAGGCTTTGGGGGACATGGATGAGACCCTGTGGATCATGAACCCTCCAGGGCTGCCCCATCTGAAATTTCCCATTGCCTTTATCCCTTGAATACAGTCACATTCGCCCATTATTATTTCCAGGAAATGAGGTCACCATGGCTACAAGATGGTTTCTCTCTTTAGGAGGTGGAAATGGAGCAAGGCGACATCAGTGATGGCCATTGATATCTGCTTCCTGCCTTCCCTCTCCACCTGGCTGTAGTTCCAGAAAATGGCCCACCATGCAGCCCCATTCACAAAATAGATCTTGACAATCTAGACCAGTGGTCATCAAAGACCAGTGGCCCTTTTCTGTAAAAGGCCAGATGGTAATTATGCTGGGCTTTGTGAGGCCATACAGTCACTGTCTAAAACGTTATTGATGAGCTCTACAATTTGAATTTGGTATAATTTACATGTGCCACAAATAGTCTTCTCCTTTCTATCTTTCTTCCCAACCGTTTAAAAATGCAAAAGCCATGCTTAGCTCATGGGCCATACAAAAACTGGGAGGAGGGCCAGATTTATCCTGCAGGCCTTAGTTTGCCAAGCCCTGATCCAGACTCCATGGGTGTCACTTTGAAGACAACACAGAGATGGGGAAAGGGCCATCCAGGGTCGGAGATCTACCTAATCCAGAATCTGTCATTTCTTTCCCTTGGGGTGTCTGTGGCTTCTTCTGTGGTTAGAGATACAGTAGCCCTTGTCAATCACCAAGGGCATGTCCCGCCTCTTTGCACACCCCCAGTTTTGCAAGTACCACTCTAGCAAATCCAAATCCAATCGTGGCACTGTTGGCTGGCTCTAAAACACTTCTCTACGTCACTCTTTTTCTTTTTCCATCAAATATGATGGACTCATTCCAAATTCAAAAATCTGAGCCAGGGCCCAGGTCAACATTTTACTCTTAATTTTATCCCAACCTACTTTTCTTCTGGCTAAGGACCACCGCAGTTTTAGCCTTCTCCCTTTCCCTTCCCATTTAGAATCAGTCAGGAGCTACGTGGACAGCACCTGCGTCCGCTGTAAAGCTGCCTCGGCAGAATGGCCAAGAACAAACACCCACGTGTCAGGGACAGCCAGGGCACTCATGAAGACAGGGAGCTGCCAATAGTCAACCTATAGACGCCCAGGGGCCCACAGGGGGTTGCCAGCCGGTGGCCTGCCAGCAGGAAACAGCCCACAGATGAGTTTTATTTGATCTGCACAGCGTTTTCAATATCAAAGCGTTCACATAAAAATCGAGATTTCCGCCTTAGATATTGGATGGGCCTGTAATGCCAGGCTTGCATATCTATAGGATGCTTGCTGGCTGAAGCTGAGACGCTGTGCCCTCAGGCTCTGTTCCCCATGGACCCCACTGCTCCTACTTATACGGCATCCAGCTGCTGCACTCGGGCATGAGCCCCTGGCGCCCCAGGCACCGAAGGTTCTGATCCCCGGTCCCCTCTCAGAGGGCAGACCTCCAGAGCCAAGGAAATCCTGATGCCATGGAGCTTTCTAAACTGTAAAGTGCCAGTCCCTGGGAAAGCATCAGGATCACGCTTTTGGGGGAACGTACTGGATAGAGAGAAGCCCTGCAGCTGATCTCCATCCTCTCTCTCTCGCCCACCCCAGATCTGGTTCCAGAACCAGCGCGCCAAGTGGCGGAAGCAGAAGACCGGCAGCCCAGGGGCTCCGCAGCAGCTGAGTGAGGCCCGCTTGGCCCTGGCCATGAACCCGGATGTGGCCGTGAGTGGCTGAGGCACCAAGGGAGAGTTGGGGGGGGGGGCCTCTCAGCAAACATCCCACCCAGAACCAGAAGCAAGGAACCCTGGGGGCTCTGCATACAGTAAAGAGTACAAGGGAGACTCTTCCAGAAAGAGCATGGCCAAGAGTACGCTGGATGTCTGTGGGACCTGGGACAAGCCGCTGCCCCTCCCCACATCCTCATTCCCTGAGTGACAATCACTCTGCTTCTCCTTCCTCCAGAGACGGGCTTGTGTTATTGGGCAGAACTTCACAATCTAAGGACCAGGCAGGCAGGGAGTAAGGGCAGGTGCCCGGAGGTTGAGCAGGTAGGCTCTGGAGTCAGACTCCCCAGGTTGGAATCTCAGCTCTGCACTTAGCAGCAGTGTGGCCCGGACGAGTCACTTGGCCCCTCCGAGGAGAGTAGTAGTTCGATGAGGGTGAAATCGCTGAGACATGAAAAGGTTTGGCGTGAGCATGGGCCACCCGTGGGGTCCGTGCATATCGGATGGTGCACCAGCTGCACACAGCGCAGACAGTCCCGCGGTCAGAGGTTCCCGCATGCCCGCAGTGACACTTGAGGTAGGATGTCTTTATTTATCCACGTTTTGCTAATGCAGAAACTGGGCACTGAGAAGCAAAGTGACTTTTTCATATCAAGCAAGTCCTATAAATGCCAGGATTAGGACCAGGTTTACCCCAGGGCACACGTTTCTCCCCAGTGTGGTCCCCTACCCACCCTGAGCCGTCCAAGTCCTGGGGGGAAGGTTGGGAAGCCGCGGGACAGCCCCGGGGGGAAGCCTAGGACTCACTTCTCTCTCTTGATTTTCCCCCTGTAACAGGGCTCCAGGCTGCAACCCTTTGCTCCGCCCCGGCTGGCTCTCCCCACCGGGTGCTATCCACCAGCTCCCAGCCAGCTGGCCTCTGCCTGGTGCCCTGGCCGGGTCACCCTCCTGCCATGCCACCTGTGGGAGACACAACCTCTCGTAGGCCCTCTCATCCAGCCAACCTGCATCCCTGCTCTGTGCTTCCTCCCACCTGCAAACCCCAAATGGGGCAGCCCCTGTGCCACCTCAACATAGGGATCGAATCACCTCTCGGCAATGGCGCCGCCTCCCTCTCCAGGTGAAGACAAGTGGCAGGAGGGTGCCCAGGCTTCTGGAGGAATCCATCTCACCATCCAAAGATGACCCTGAGCACGCCCGGAAGGAAGTTTGCATTGGACTCAGCAGCAAAGTGAGGAATACAGGAGCTCTCTTTGCTCCTCCCAAGGTTGCCCTCCTGGCTCAGAAGACAGAGGCTGTGTGAGATCCCCAGATGAGCTCTGGACCAAAGACGGCATCATCTGGCACTTCTGCTTCCTCTAACTCGCTGTGTGACCTCCAGATGGTTACTCACCCCCTCTGGACCTCATCTCTAACACAGACAGTTGGACAAGGTGACTTCCGAGGGCCCTTCTGGCTCTTCCTTTGGTGAGGTGAACCATGATGAGAACAGAGGCAGAGAGGAGGCCAACGAGGGGTTGCCTGTACATTCATGCATGACACATTTATTGAGCACCTACTGAGTACTCTATAAATGGAACTGGATCTGGACACAAAAACCAAGGCTCTGCCCCCAGGAGCTCAGTCCACTTTGGCCCAAGGGGTCGTGCTGAGCTTCGCCTGCAAGCCGAACGTGTGCTCAATGACCTTGCTGTTGGCCCAGTGACCTTGCCATTGGTCCATGCCTAACAAATTCTGTATGGCTTTGATATGAATGTACAAACTGGGAGAGAAATATAGGGAAAGTTATTTTTAATTTAAGACAGAATGTAGTGACTTTGGTTATCCTGCTGGACTGGGGAGGGATGCTGCATTTCCGGTCTGAATAAAGAATATGACAGGAAGCTGTTTTCAGAGTTTATTTCCCAGGACTAGTGCAAGGGACCAGCTGGAAGGCCAGCCTCCCTCCGTTGTGAAGAGCCTAAGGACTCTGCCGTTTCCTTGCAGTGAGACCTTGGGCAAATCACAGGCCTGGTCTGAGCCTCAGATTCCACATCTGTAAAACGGAGGTGGTAAGCCCCACCTGCCTGCTTCGAAGAGCAACCGGGAGGCTCTGAAGGGGAGAGGAAGTGCTTCACCAAGTGTGAGGTCCGCGCCCGTTGTGGAGCGGTGGCGTTGTCCCCAGATCCCACTAGGAAAGGGGCTACTTTGGGTCCGGGCCCTGGAATACACCACCCCTACTCCCAGGGAGGTCACCCTCGACCTTCCCTTCGGCCTGAGCACTGCCAAGAGGTACCCTGCTGCGGAGGACAGGACCTGCTCCTCCTAACTAGGCAGGCTGGACTGACCTCTGTGCACAAATCAGAAGTTTGGGTAATCTGTCCCCAAATTCCAGAACCTCTGCAATCCGGCCCAGTCCCTGATGCAGCCAGGAGTTGGACGGGGAGTCAGGAAGCTTGGGTCTTAGTCCTGTCCTCCGTCTGATTTGCTGTAGAAGCTTGCCACCCAAACCCTCTGGGCCTCGCTTTCTCACCTATAAACTGGAGGCAGCCCCACACAGCTCTTCCCTCAGGCGTGCAATATGCCCGAATCCGACTACAGCCCACAAACGGGATGTGCTTTATAAACTTAGAAGTGCCATATCGCCCAGAGCCCATGCACGTTATCACCGACAGACACCTAGTCTCCAGCAAGCTCGAGATGAAAGAAGGCTAAGGGCTGGGAGAGCAAAAGAGCCGATTAACAGAGGGCGGGGCCGGGACCTTGCTCCTACAAACACCACCGCGGTGGCTGCAGGGAGGGGACATCTGTTTCCCAGCTGTCTCTCTCAGTCCCCCGAGGGCATCCACTGGGTGCACCTCAGCCAGCCTGACCGTGACCCCTCCGCCCTGGTGCTGCACTACCTGTTCCATCCCCTGCTGGGGTTCACCCCACACCCTCTGTTGCAGCACCCCCTCAACTTATGAATGCCCCCGTTCCTTCTCTCTAGTTTCCAGGCCATCTCTTGGGAGCTGGAGGAAAAGTCAATAGCACCCCCACCCCTCAGGGTCATGGAAACCCTAGGCCAGGCAGGGGACTCTCCACCTAGACCTCTTGCAGCCATTTCTCAGGCCCTGGCGACAGGAGGGTCACGGACAAGATCACAGATGCCCCACCTTCCAGGTGGAATGAAAAGGCACAGGTCCGCTCTGCTCTGGGCTCCTCGTGGAAGTCTGGGCTCTCCAAAGAAACAAAACTGTATGTGTATTTTTTTCCTTAGTATGAGGAGTTGGCCCTCACGATTACGGAGACTGAGAAGCCCCAAGATCTGCAGTCCGCCAGCCAAAGACCCAGGAAAGAGCAGACGGCACAAGCTTTAGTGGGAGTCCAAAGGCAGGAGGAGACCAAAGTCCCAGCTCAGAGGCAGGCAGAGAGCCGGTTCTCCCTTCCTCCACCTTTTGTTCCATTCAGGCCTCACGTTCAGCCACACTAGGTAGAGCAATCTGCTTTTCTCAGTCTACCGTTCAAATGTTAATTGCATCCAGTGCAACCTCTCAGGTGCACCCATAATAACACTTAGCCAAATATCCGGCCACCCTGTGGCCCCAGTCAAGTTGACATAAAATTAACCGTCACGATCCCCACCCCTTTCCCAGTCACATACCCTCCTCCCCCTAGCATCCTCCAGAAACAGAATTTCGCCAACCATAAGAGGTTCAGGTGACCAGAGCATCTCAGGTTCAGTACCGATTTAAAGTTGATTTGGGAGGAGCAACTCTTCCTCCCTAGGGATTTATGTTCTCCCCGTAAGAACTGTGTTATTCCCTTACCTTATATCTGTGGTGCAAAGGAATCACTTTAGAACCCACACCAGCTGTGTGACCTGGGCAAGAGACATGTCCCCTCTGTAGAACTGTTTCTGGTCTTTCAGGGTTTCTGTGACAATTAAATGAGTTAGTACAGTCTGGCACATGACAAGTGTGGAGGAAAAAAAAAAAAAAGCCATTTTCCCAACTCTCCCTTCTTCCTCTTTCTACTTCTGATCTTGAGCAGCTATTCTGATCCCAGACTCTATCCTAGGAGTTT